GTTTTTTTGCCCTTCTGGTTTCTCTGCAGTGGAGCAGAAGAATCCACTGCTGCAGCTAAAACAGTCTGGGGCCGGAATCGGCAGTGGTCGTGTAAAGCGTCGCTACAAGAGAAAAAACGCAGTCAGTCCTCTTAAAAAAGGAGCTTCTCCACTCAAGAAGCGTCCAACAACAAACAGCCCAGCCAAAAGCCTGCCACCTACTGGAAAATCACAGGAACCAATAAACAATCGAAAGGCAAGTTTGTCCTCTGCTCTATGCATATGATGCTGCCAACACGTGAAAACGTGTCATTTAGTTGACTTATCTTTAAAAATTGCAACTTCTTTTCATTCCCAGACTGAAAATGGTCCCTCAACATCAGTTTCGAAACCAGAGATCCCACCAGCTGTGGTTAAATTGGCTGCTCGTCCTCCTCCAGCACTGGCAGGAGCCTGTGACTTGACAGACATTAAAACACTACTACGGGAATGGGTTACCACCATAACAGGTACACAGATGTGTTATGATGGCGTTTCCTGTGGTGCTGTTGTTGTTGTTGATTTTTATGGGTTTCCAAAAGTGCATCTTTATCTATTTATTTTTTGTTTATTTTTTTAGAACCCATGGAGGAGGACATCTTGCAGGTGGTGAAATATTGCACTGACTTAATTGAGGACAAAGATTTGGAGAAGTTGGATTTGACTATGAAATACATGAAAAGGTTAGTTCTGTGGAGTGAAGATTCCTCAATTTAAACTGTCTTCCTCTTTCTTTGTTTTCAAGGTTTCACTTGCTTGTTACGCTTGAGCTTCGTTTTTTTTGTTTTTGTTTTTCCCTGCAGGCTCATGCAGCAGTCAGTGGAGTCTGTTTGGAGTATGGCTTTTGACTTCATCTTAGACAACGTGCAGGTGGTTTTGCAGCAGACTTACGGCAGCACCCTGAAGATAGCATGAAGAAAGACGGGGTGCTCTCCTCACTACATGCGATCGTTGTAAACAACACTTTTTTGATTTGTTAATTTCACAATACAAATCATGATGTCTAAATTCTGACTTATGAAAGATACAAATAATGGCTACACTTTTATGAGAAAGAGCCATGACAGTATTTTGAAGTATTTTGGACAAAGCGGTTGTTTTTATCACAGAACAATGATGATAGTAGCAGCTTTTTGGAAACTCACTTTCATTCACTCTTATTTTCCTACGACTCATTTTCATATGCAAGATTTTATTAAGGGCAAAAAAAGCATAAAGGGTATCTGTTTTTTGTAGCACTGCAAAACTTTCAGCTGGTATTAGATCGCATACTCCTGTGGTGACCTGAGCATTGGTGCTGTAGATCTGCTCCAGAGATCTGTTTCCAGAGACAGTTCAGGGTCATTTTGGGTTAGAGAGTCACAGAGAGTCAGATCTGGAGACGGCTTTCTGGCTCGATACCAACGAAGGCTGCTGTTAGATCTCTGAGTCGTAGCTGGACTCTGAGACAAACAATAACATCCGTTCCATCCAGGCCTGATTTCGAAATGTATTTTTTGTTTTCATTTTGGGTTTTTCCCCGTCTTGAGCGTTAGAATCTGGTATGTTAAATTTTCCTCGCTTGGATACGTGATCATGTTAAAACAAAAAGTATATTTCAGCAGTTTTACAAACCGCTTACCTTGTAGCATTCTTTATACATAAGACATTTTCAGAAATGATTGGAGAATTTTTTGGGGGGGTTTTCCCCATCATTGTTTTATCGGTGCTCTTTGCCACTAGCACTTATCTGTGAAGCATCTACTGCTGCGTGCAGCAGTGTTGCTTTTTTTTTTTTTTTTTTTTTCTCTCTCGTTTCTTGTTTCTTTCCAAAAAAAGAAGTGCCAAACGCTGTTATTATACTGTGTAAATAATGTTTTAAAGATCTTTGTCTAAAGTTTTAAAAGAAAAAAACATGTATGTAGAAAAATTACCTCTTGTATTGTTTACCGGTAGTGGATTCTTAGTAACTGTCTCTAAATTGTAACTCTTTAAATGTTTCTAAATGTTCCAACATGGAAGTCAGAAGCTGGCCAAAGCACTTGAGGTGAGGTTAACTGTTGATTCTCAGTAGCACTCTGATATAGGAGGATGTCGACAGGGGTCATGGCAATCAATGAGTAGCCTATGCATTTCTATTTTTTCTCACATAACAATGAGATGTCCCTTCAAGACCACGTAACATTAAATAAAGCATTTAGTGTTTATGCTGAATGTGCATAGGAAGAGGCGATCTGATTTTTAACTCTGTCACCCACAGTGTCTGATTCACACCCTCGAGACACTTTGTACAGCTTGCAGCTGTGTCGCAGTATTTGTGTGAGGTTTGACTTTAACAGCAGATGCAGCTGCTTGACTTGTGATCGCACCATGGAGGATAATTTGCTTGCAGTTAAAATGCGTGTTTTAAAAGATAATTCTGATATGCAAACCAAATCAATCGGTCATCTTTTGAAACTTGTTGAAATGAATGTAATTTAGAATGTGTGATTCACTTTCAAGACGTTGCTTCTCTTCACCTCTCACGTGTTTCCCGAGGGGAATGGCCAGAAGTTAAAATAAAAGAATAATAATAAATTGGCCTGTCTTGTCTAATCTGGCTCGTGCCTGAAGACCTGAAGCTGTGAAACTTGTTTGTAAGTTTTCTAAACCTTGGTAATAAACTGTAAATTCTGTATTCATTTATTTGTCTTTGCCTTTCTATAAACTGGCCTTCAAAAGGACTTTCAGCTGATAGAATATGGTTATGAAAATTATCTTCAGTGTCTCTTTTGTGTTATTCCCAGGTCTGACAGTGATGAGCATATAAATATGCTAGACATGTCTGTTAGAGATGTATATTATTTTGATGCCAAAAAACATTGAATTTAATAACTTATTTTGTATTGTTTAAATGGGATAAAGTTGACAAGCCACACCATTTTTTTTTGGGGGGGGGGAGATCTAGAGAAGGCATATAATAGGCTGGCAGGAGAGGAACTGTGGTACCTCACTAAAGAGTAAGTGGTAAAGAAGTATGTGAAGGTGGTGCAGGACAGTGAGACAGTGGTAAGGTGTGCAGCAGGAGTGAAAGATGGCTTGAAGATGGGGGATTATTATATGAAGAATTGATGATATCATCAATGAATATATAGGACAAAGGAGGCTGCTTTTGGAGCTGTAGCGGGTATAAGCCATGGCAACAGCTTTAATCTTCACATTTCGACTTGATTCTCAAAATAGAATTTCGATTCCCCCCCCTCCCCTCTTAAAATGCTATTTCAAGTCTTACCTCGAAATTTCGACGTCATTCATAATGTTTTGGTTTTGCATATAAACTACAAATATTCTTCAGCACGGGATTTACTGCAAACAATATATTTTTTCTTTAATACATCAGATGACAACTGAGCTTTTGGGTCGCTATAAACAAAAGCAGCAGTACAACGTGAAAAAATATAACACACACACACACACACACAAAATAAATTAATAAATAAAAATTAACCCGTAGTATTTCACGAGTTGCCCGGATGTACTTCCCACGACGTCAGACGGGCCCGCTGTGACGTTGTATCCGCAGAGAAACGTTTCGTGCGGGGGCTGAGGTGTTGACGAGCATCTGTCACTTTACTAGGTAATAATTTAATAGCAGCTTGGTTATACTTTATATTTTCGACAAAACGCACAGTTGACGTTCATTTAAAAAAAAAAGGATCAATACAACTGTTTCCAAAACTGTTGCTGTAACGTTTGTTAACAATGGCGGGGCTAATGCTAGCTAGTTAAGATAGCAAGCAAACGCAGACTGAGTTTATAGGGAGATTTTTGTTGAACTACTGGCGTGTAGAAGTACGTGTAGCTACGTTTCTTAGTTTGTATAAGTTAGCTGTAGATACGTAAGAGGTACCCAGTTACGGTCTGTGCCTGTACCAGCTAACTGTAGGCACCACCGGGCAGAAACAAGGTGTGCCCCCTGCCGTTACTGGCTTTGTCAGCGGCGTTAGCTAGCTAAAAGAGGAGCTCTCGGACCAGTTTCTGTGTAAGCAACGTTGCTAACGTTACATTGTTGTACATACTTGATCACATCAGCTCACAGTGTAGGGCTAAAACAGGGTTTTCCCCATTATAAAATTTGGGAACAAAGGCGATGTCGAGATTCCTTTCTCTTTATTTTGCGTCTTTGCGCAAAATAAAGCTTATAAATAAGTCGTATGAATAAGTGAACTATTTCCTAGTCGTCATGCGCTCCATCACGCTACCTTTGAACTTGTAGCCAGTGCAGTGTGGATGTCACATGACTGATACACATCAGCCACTGACATTTGCAGAAAGCTTGTATCAGCTGATATCGATATTAGGCACTGTGATGTTGTTATTGTCCTGCTGTCTGGTGTCATGTCTCACCATTGTTTATCTGCCCATTTTCAAACAGAGTCAGGCAGCCATGGCTAACCAATCAATGGAAATCATAGCAAAAGTTTTGGAGCAGTCAGCCAAGCTGGTGGAGGAGCAGGTGGATGCCCAGTTGGCCAAGCTGAATGAAATGGATGAAGATGATTTGGAGAGGCTGAAGGAAAGGCGATTAGAGGCACTAAAAAAGGCCCAAAAACAGAAGCAGGTGTGTGGGACACTTTATAATCACTGTAGCATTTTGCTGTGTTAATTTCTTAAAGCAGATAAAATAATTTGAATCACTGAGAAGATTCACTTCTTATCCGCACCATCAGCAGAACCTAGTCTAAAAAATGAAACTTTCGACACTACAATTTGTACTGAAGTCACTCAGTTCTTTGAAGGATCATAATAAAACACCTGGTGTCATGTTTATAGACTGCCTTGCTCTGAAGTTAGGCTACACAGCATTTGGGTCTATTATTCAAACCCTTTAAAGAGTGTTTTCATTGTACTCCACTATAATAGCTTTTCTTGTATTTGTAATCTTTTGTTTTGCTTTTCAGGAGTGGTTGTCTAAAGGTCATGGGGAGTACAGAGACATATCCAGTGAGAAAGACTTTTTCAGTGAAGTGAAAGACAGCAAGAATGTCGTGTGCCATTTCTACAGAAATTCAACCTTCAGGTAAGTCACTAAATGATGCAACAGGACCACGAATTAGAAATGTAATGTAGTCCAAAAAACAAAACAAACAATCAGAGGTAGTTTATAGAAAAGTAATATGTTCTGAAAATTGATTTTAATAAATAAATTCATTATCTTTTCAGACAAAATGACATTTCCTACGTGTGAAGTGTGTTTCAGTTACCTTTAACAATCAACATTGTGCCTTGTTTAGGGTCTTTTTTTTTTTTTTTTTTACTCAGTCGCCAAGATATTAATCTGTTGATGTCAGACATCTGAACTTGTCACTCTGTCCTTAGATGTAAGATCCTCGACAAACACTTGGCCATCTTGGCAAAGAAGCACGTTGAGACCAAATTCATCAAACTGAATGCAGAGAAGGCCCCATTTCTGACAGAGAGGCTGCGCATCAAAGTTATTCCGACTCTGGCTTTGCTTATTGATGGAAAAACAAAGGACTATGTGGTCGGATTCACTGACCTGGGAAACACGGACGAGTTCACCACAGAGATGCTCGAATGGAGACTTGGCTGTGCGGACATTATTAACTACAGGTGAGATGTGCGGTAGACTCACTCGAGCACCTTATGTGTTGTGAATGAAAACGTTTTATCTAACATGATCCCTTTTTCCTGTTTCTAGTGGCAACCTGAGGGAGCCCCCAACAGCGACACAGAGATCAGGAACAAAGTTCACAAAAGTGGAGAAGAAAACCATCAGAGGGCGAGGTTACGACTCGGATTCTGAAGATGACTGAAGAGGCTTGACAGTGTTCGGGTTTACTCTCTCAGGGCTACCTCATTACTAAAACTCCAGCAGACAGCCCACTTCCTTTTTTCCCTCTTAGTAATTTCTATTTTTTTAATTAACACAATCCACTGATTCATTTTATTTAACAAGCATGTTTGTTTCAGCCTTATTTAAGGACTTCTCCACCATGATTTATATTGGAATATCTGAGTAATAAAATGTATGGTTCATGAACAAGGGAGCACACTGAGCGACCACTAGCTGTTAGCTGTATTTTGTTTTTCTTGATTTACAGGTGTAATCATTTATTGTAGACAGCTGTCTCACGCACTTTCCTGTAACCTTTGTACGTCTCGTGTTGGAACCAAGTTCATGGTGCATGTGAGTGCCAAGATCATCTTTGAAGAGCAAAATAAATTTTTACATGACATTTCATGGTAGCATGAGTTTGACCTAACTAATGCAGACTTAATAAAAACAAGAAAAAGATGGGGGAAAAAAACTGCTTGTGTATTTTTTGTGTTACTTCTTCAGGGTTAGAGGCAGCGTATTTGCAAGAGTTGTATGTTGCCTTTATGGATGAAAATAATACATCCTTAAACTTACTGGATGCTTTTGTCTTCAGAACAGTCTAAATTCTTCATAGCATAGATTGAACATGGTGCTTGAAATATTCCTCAGAGATTTTGGTCTATATTCACAAGATTACACAGATGGAAGCATCAAAAGATTTGTGGACTGTGATCAACAACACTTGAGTAGGTTGTAGTGTTTAAATGATGCTCTGTTGGTACACAACCTTGGAGAAGGTTGTGTTGGAAAATCCCAGAATATAAGCAGTTTCTGAAATACTCAAGACTACACTGTCTGGCATAAACAACCATGGCACACTCAATCACCTTGAGGCATTCTGATACTGCAGCAGGATGTAATGACCATGTCTAAATGCATGGAGTTGCTGCCATGTGATTGGCTGATTAAATATTTGGATTAGCAAGCAGTGTACCATATGTACCTAATGAAGTGGCCAGTATAATTACTGGCAGTGTTTTTTTGTGAGCCTTTGTTCTTAGAAAACAAAATAGGTGGAGTTCCCATTTGCTGTTTTTGCCTTTAAACTGAAAACTATAACCATCTAAAAACATTTTATGGGCGTGGATTATTTGTAGCTGATGAGACTGGCTGGTGCTATGCTGAGCATGTTGAGCATTACTACAAAACTAAAAACCGCAACACAAAAGGGGGCCCTCGATTTCTATAAATAACTGTTTGGCAGTCTGATACAATTGAGGTGGTGAGCAAAAAAACTGGACTTGGGAATTAAGAAAGCAATTTTAAATTTAAACAATCTGAACCACCAACTGTTGTTGAATGATCTCAGAACCCAAATTACACTTTTTACCAAATTACTAGCTGTCTGTAAAATTAATATGCTGGTATTCAAATTGCTAAACTGTTGATATGTAGAAAAAAATAATAAAAATCAATCATGTTTTCTGGAAAAGTTTAATGAGTAATTCCTGAATTAACTCAAACTTAGAACAGTGGGTTTGCACAGAGTTGAATTTTAATGTCAGTATTCCTGCTTCATCAGGATGGCACTTTGCTCAATCATTTGAGAGACAGGTTGATGAGAACATTTAATCATATTCATCTGCAGCTCAGCATCAAAACACAGGAAACAGCAATCAAGAAGTCTGGTTGGTGCCACGGCTTTCTCTCACTGCAGAGAGAATGACAACAGGACATTTTCCAGGACATTCACACACGCAACAGTGGAGCTAAGATTCGATTGCCTTGTTGTCTACAGGTTGGAGGAGGTGGTGTACAATAAGTTCTCCTTTGCTGTTGATGTATGCATCGGCCATGTCATGCTCAGCAGGGAGCCCATAGGGAGTCTTTAGTGGCTGTATCCTGAAGGTATCAGAAAGAGATGGCAAAGGAGATATAACAGTATAGATATGTAGGCATCTCAGGCAACCTCAATTTGAAAAAAAACTAACCTTTTTTTAATAGTACTTTAAGAGTGATGTGTTACTACTTTTGGTTAATTAATCCTACCTTACAAGGTGCTTGACAAACTTCAGTTGGCTGTTGACTGCAGGAGTATTTTTATGAATTACGGGGACGTGAGCCTAAGTGCGAGACAAAGGCAGAGAAAATTATTCCAAAAGATAAAGGCTGTGAGCGTCTGCATGAGGTGACACTCTGTACAGATCATTTATCCTGATCAGAGCTCCTTCAGGGTACAAGTCACTGTTGAAAGATGCTGAAAGACGCAAAGAATTAAATGGAAATTCCTGAACTAAAGCTGACAGCAGTGTTTTGTTGTATGTACAAAAAAACCCAAAACAAAACAAAACATTGAACATGATCAGGTTACATTAAGTTAATCCAAAAGTAAAACAAAAACTATCTGTAGCCTTTACAAAAAGGGAACCCAGTTTGGGGTCCTGTACCATGACAGAAATTTTACCTTTTGAAGCCCGAGGTATTTTATTATCTCTTTCTCCCAGTATGGCCTTCGCAGCGCACTTTTGACCCGCGTCACTATGTGCAGCTTGTGCGGCTGGTCTGGATCGCCACCATATTTCTCGTGCTCTTTCGATCGCTCAGCAAAAATCTGTTAAGAAAATGCAGAATAAAGGATTATCATTATTCCATGGCAGGATTCATCTGTAATGACGGGCCTAAAGCAACACTAAAAATGCTGAGTAGCTAATAATCCACCTAAACCATTTTGTCTACTGGACCTGCTGGAATTATACCCAAACTTACTTAATCCAAATAAATATTAATGTAAAAGAATTATATTTTGACACAAGACGTTACATACTTTGAGTGTTGCTAATTACTTTACAAATGTACAACATTATAGATTCTAAATTTATTCTTACCTCTGGTGGGATTCTGGATTTGGAGAATTTGCTTCTTGCTGACACATACCATGCACAAGGTGACAAAACTGGAGCTTCTGTCAGGGTCTGTAACATATGCAAACAGAGAGAAGGTAAAAAGCAAAGCCCAGTATCAAGGAAACTGTGTTTACTTACATATGCAGAAAATCTAAAAAGTTCTGTAGAGTTGGGTCTCAGAGATAGATTGCTGTTACTGGTGGTAGATATTCTTTTCTTTAGGGAACAAAAGTTTTTTGGGTTTTTTTTTTAATGATTTAAAAATCTGATATTCTGACACATCAGCAGATATTTTGTTTTTATCTTTCAGATCCACAAAATATGAACAGATTTCCCTAACATTTGTCATGTGTAGTTATCCGTTTACTGATTTATGCTTTGCCTGACTCTGGTCAGGTTGTTGTATTTGTGTTACTCCAAACAGCTCATAGCAACAGGGAAGTTGGAGCACATTCCTCCCATATTAGCTTTTCATCTCTGGATCCCTGTTAAATCTAGAATTGGATATAAAATTCTTCCTCCTTACATACATCTGATACACCTGAGCACTTCCACTTGTCTCTTTTCACTCCCCTTCTGTTTACACACCACTGCACTAAGTCATTATTGCATACATACATTTTGCCTTCCCTCTCTCCCTTAGTCTGCTTTTTCCTACCTCTTTGCTTTTTTCCCCTCTCTCTTCTATTTCCTCTCATCACCCTCTCCAGTCACAGCATATGCCTGCCCCTCCATGAGGTGGTTCTGTCAGAGGTTTCTTCCTGTTAAAAGGGAGTTTTTCCTTCCCACCATCACAAAGTGCTTGTTCATGGGGGCTATTTGAACTCTAGAGTCTTTACCTTATGGCATAAAGCGCCTTGAGGCGACTTTTGTTGTGATTTGGCGCTATATAAATAAAATTGAATTGAATTAAAGCATATTGAAGCGATTTTGATGTGAACTGGTGCTATATATATAAAATAAACCTTAACGGAATCTTAGATGACAATATTAGTTCTAACTTTAATACTTGGAGCACTTTCTGCAGCAAATGTAGCCTAGTGCACATCACAGCTGACTGGATAGTGGTGCAGAGAAGCCCAGTGGCTTCACACAACAAGTGAGTTTCATTAATGCTGAGTTAGTTACAATGGCCTCGTTTTCTATTTTTTTTTACATAACCGAGCACGTATATGTATCCAGGACATTGGTCATTATATTTGAAAGTTTCGCGTCCTAAAATTCAGCACTGCAGTCATCTAGCAAACAAAATAAATAAATCCAGTAAACCTAGAAAAATCCAGTAACTATTCTCCAAGTCCCATCCCTGAATTGGGTTTCAGGTTTCAGGTTTAGCTGGATTTTTCCTCAAGCAGCGTTAAACTAAATGAGCCCTTATGTCAACTTCAAGATGTACGAAACACTTTGTAGACAGTTCAAGTCTGAAACATTAAAAAACGTGCAGTGATGTACCCACCTTGACTGATAAAAAGCTCAAACTGCGGCAGACAGCTGACATGTTGTGTTCCTTCTGCTGCTCTTTAGCTAACAGGGGCTACGAGACAAGGTTACAGCCTTGCTAACCGCTAAATAACACGGAACTCGAGCCTAACAAACCGCTATGAAAAACTGACCTATAATCATACCATATTTACCAAGTTCGCACATTTAAACATTAATTCGGCACTGAAAACAGCAGTGAAACAGGAGAGTCACGCTGCTGTCAAGCCCTCTCTCTCCGCCGTCTTAACCGGAAACGTCGGGGAGTTACATTAAAAGAGCACCGCCTCTTCGAGAGCACCGGAAATTTGCACATTGTTCCTACCCTAATTTTTCTAGTGTGATAAATATGTTGTTTGAATAAATTTGGACTTAATAAAAACTGAAAATACTTTAACTGTGTGTTTTTATAAAAAAAAAAATACATAACCATCAATTTTCTAACCAAAGTCATTACGTTTCTCCGGGAGTTGTTTTTATGGGGCACTCGTGGGTAGAGCTACTTCTGTCAGCTTCTTTCCTGTCACTGGTGAAACGTGACGTTTATTTAGAGTTGTATATGTCTTAAAAGACAGTTGAAAGACAGAACAATGACACAAAACCACCTGTCGGGAATGGAGGCGTCCGCCGTGTCTGTCTTGAAGCGAGCGGTGGAGCTGGACCAGAGCGAACGTTTCCAGGAGTCTCTCATCTGCTACCAGGAAGGCATCCAGCTGCTTATGGACGCGTTAAAAGGTCCTCCTTTAAAAATAAATAAATATTAATAATTACATATTTTAAACATTGCCCTGAATTACGCTGAACGTCTTTTTTTTAAATGTTCTCTTTGTCCTGTGAGCAGCTGTAAAAGATGACTCAAAGAGAGGACACTACAGAGAGAAGATAAAGGGCTACATGGACAGAGCAGAGCAAATCAAAGTTCATGTGAATCAGATGAAGGAAGGTAATTTGCCAGTAATGGAGCAAAAAAGGGCAAAGTGGGCCGGGCAAAGATGAATTACCCTGATCGACTGAGCCTCTTGTTTGCAGTGGTTTTGACTGTTAGACCTGTAGCACCTGTGTGTAATTGAGAGGGAGACAGGTGTAACAGTGGAGCTCCAAGGGGCAGAGGTAGATGTAGCGACCCCAAAAGGGAGCAAGAAGTAGAACTTTGTGGTAATTTTGACACAAGCAAGAACTCAAATCGGGTGAACAAGGTGCTTCAGTGTTGCATATGACCAAATTAATAATTTGCACAATCTTACTGACCCTGTGGATTTGGGTTGCTGAAGCCCACTTTGCCCTGTAATCCAGCTCTAGCTGAATATTGACTGTGCGATCTTCTCAACAACCAAAATCTTGTTTATTGTTTTGTTATATCCCTTACATTTATGTATAAATCTAATTATGTCTAGTATCTCTTATAGACAGGATCCTATTCCAGTGTAGGACTGTGCTGGTTAAGTTTTTAGATTTAGGGGAAAAATATATGGCAAGAGCCACAGCTAAAGAAGGGGGTTTTCAAAATTTGTGTTTCTCTTATCTTCCCTGATAGATGGGAAGTACCACGAGCAGATAAGAATATCAGAGGATGCTACTGGTTACAGCTATGAGGTTCTGTTCAAGCCATACATCAGCAGCGCTCTCACTGAAGTCTGGGTGGAGGACCCGTACATACGGCACACCCACCAAGTAAGAGTTTTGTCCTCATTAACTGGGGTTTTTATTCATTCCACTCTGTCATCAGTCTTTTATCTGGCTTTGTTCAGAGGTTGGAGCTTATCTTTAATGAGTTTATCCATTAATTTGATACCGATAGAATGATACTAGAGGACTAAGTCTGCAATACACGTATACATTTTCCGCCTTGGGTAGCAGGAGCAGCCGACGGGGGGGACATAATCTCTTTAACGTGTCCTGGTCTGCGCCAGGGTCTGTCTGTGGCCAGAAAGCCTTCAACATTTAGATGGCTGAAAGATTCATTGATTAATAGAACTATCACAGATTAGTTGAAGTTAAACAAACAAATGTTATAAAAATCTGTCTGGTAGGTTATGAAAAGACTGCTAAGCTGACTTTAATTAAACTTTTTGTAGAGGTCGTGTATGGGAAAAGGAGGAACACATTCAGTTATGATGTGGATGATGTGTTTGATAAAAGCCTGAACGCATATACTGAAAATCTTTTTTTTCTCTGATCATGTGTTGCAAGCTGCAAGCAAGCAGCTTTCTCCCCTTACTAGTTTGACTAGCACTTTATAATAAATAATTGTAATTTTATGTTTATGTTTTAAAAATCAGCCCTAAACTGTACCAACCTTATATAATATGCCAAACAAAGCCCTCGCCTTTCCTCTCACAAACAGTTGTACAACTTCCTTCGGTTCTGTGAGATGCTGCTAAAAGCCCCCTGCAAGGTGAACAAGATCCACCTCCTCACGTCGCAGGATGAAGTGAGTTACTCACACAATAGAGCTGCATTTTATAGTCAAAGCTGAGCAGCCACTGCTGTCTTCTCTGTTTAGTTTATACTGTCATTTCCCATCCCGCAGGCTGATAGTGGCCAGCAGAGCGGTGCTCTGGCCGAGTTGAAAGAGAGTCTCAGCGCTCACGGAGTGACTCTAGACCTGCAGTACTCCTCCACTATCCATGACCGGGAGATCAGGTACACCTGCAGATTTTCCTCATTTACAGCAGCCACATACGTGCAGCGTGAGGAAGTTCATCCTTGTGACATCTGATGTTCACTTCTACATTAACACTCCATTGCTCAAAATACGGTCTCTTTTATCCCAGTAAATTAAACCTGATTTTATTTTTAGGTTCGATAATGGTTGGATCATAAAAATTGGAAGAGGGTTGGATTACTTCAAGAGACCTAAAGTGAGACTACGCATTATATACTTATTAGTATTCATCTGTAAGTATGGAGTGGCTAAAGTGAACGAGATCTTTCTGTCGTTTGTCTCGCAGGGCCGATTCTCTGTTGGATACTGTGACTATGACCTCAGGCAGTGCCAGGAGACCACCGTAGACATTTTCCACACCAAACACACAAAAACTCTATGAGACTCACAAAGCTAAAATGATTTTTTTTTTTGCCAAGCCGTTTAATTTACTTACCTGCCTTCCAAACACAAGCAGATCTACAGTATTGTTGGATTTGCTTTAGCTTGCGGGTGTCTGGGGACTGACTTTTATAACAAGATGGGTTATTGTTTGATTTCTGCTGCACTGGAACGTCTTAAATTTCTGCTAACTGTACTGCCGCTGCTATTGGTGAATTTTTAAGTTCAGTTTTCAGTTCTTCAGTTTTCTATGATTTTTTTTTTCCGTTTTCTATGATATTTATGAAAAATATGGATATTTTTATCTTCTTCTTTTTTTTTTTAACTTCCACAGATTGTAATTCTACAGAGACCTTTTTTGGGGAAAATTAATTATTTCAAAACATTTTTTCTAGATTACTTTACACAATTAAAAATGTATTTTTGTTTAAATCAAATTTAAATTTAAAAATTCAAAACCAAAACATATTTAAAACGCATTAATAGTAAAATGTGTTACAGGATTGCCAACTTTAGGCCCTTTTTAAATGAATTGCTTATGATGGGTAATTGTACCTCTAGGTAATGAAACATTAGGCCCTTTTCAGTTGACTGGAAATGTATCGTCCTGATTCTATTAGTAGATTAAAGAAACCAAACATGGCCCTAAATATCGTTTTGTACTGAAAAATGAATAAAATGTAACAGATTTTAAACTATTTATAATACATAAATGCAGAATAAATATTAAAACTGACCAAAGTGTGCTGAAAGATTGTGAGATGTTTTCTTGTTTTCTACAGAATAGAAAAAGTCCAAGACACAGATAAAATGAAAACAGTGACCAAGAGGACGAGAGTGGGTAGAGTTACACAGAAAGGTGCACTTACAGAAAGTGTTTATGGTAATCAGCTGGTTGTTTTCCAGGTTATTATAGGGTTAGGGTGGAGGATTACTCTAAAACCTAGAATTAAAACATTTTATTGAACTAAAAAACAAAAACTAGACTTGGAAAAAAATTAAACTAACTGAAAAGATTTTGAGAACTTGGAAAACTGACTAAAAAATGGTAAATGGCCTGTATTTGTTTAGCGCTTTACTTAGTCCCTAAGGACCCCAAAGCGCTTTACACTACACTACATTCATCCACACTCTGGTGATGGCAGCTACATTGTAGCCACAGCCACCCTGGGGCGCACTGACAGAGGCGAGGCTGCCGGACACTGGCGCTACCGTGCCCTCTGACCACCACCAGTAGGCAACGGGTTTAGTGTCTTGCCCAAGGACACAATGACCGAGACTGTCGGAGCCGGGGCTCGAACTGGCAACCTTCTGATTACAAGACGAACTGCCAACTCCTGATATGTCAAATTTTATCGTAGCTTGTCTGATGAAGCGTTGACAGACAAGACTGAGTCCTCTGATTCAACTAAACATTTGCCAACAATAAAAATCTGACTTTAAAAAAAAAGAGCAGATGCCGGTCAGTGCAGATCAGACCTTGTCATAGTCTCCACACAGTCAGATTATATCCATCAAAAACCACTCATTCACTTATACACACTGTATTTGATTCAGACATAGGTCTTTACATCTGTAACAAGTTCACAAACATTGCAAATCCCATTCTGACTCTTATTACAACAAAGTCTAAGCTCAAGGCACATTCACCACCTGCTTCATAGCTTTCATACATATTACACGGATCAGCAGATCGAGCAGTCATGGAGCACTGAACTCATGATTCCTTAAAAACCTACATATTTCCACAATTATTGAATTCTGGATAAGGTTATTAAGACTTACAATTACCGGAGATGTACATGTTTAATATCTTTGACTGATTTTTATGTCCCAAAGCTATATTGTAGCCATAGCTTCTTCTGTTTCTGCTGGCTCTGTATTGGTGCAACATTTCATGCATGTAAGACACTGATGTCTAGTTAACGATTACCATCAAACTCTTATCTGAATCCAGAATCCCAAACTAAATACAGATAAGCTGCAGGGGAAAGCTTGTTCAGTGGTTTCAGATATCGGCCAATTGTTCTTGGGTGAATCAATGGAAACATCTTTCCAAAAAAAAGTCGTCTATAAAAGTGAAAAAATAAAAAACCCCAAAGAAAATACCCTCACATTTTTTTCACATTTGCTAGAATGAATGGTAACCCTCGTGACTTCAAACAGTGCTGTGATCGGATTATCTATCGGCCTTAATCTCGATATGCACAGCCCTCATCTGGCCTGTGAGAGGAAGAAATTATAATCCATCGCAACACCACATGAATCAGAGACTGCCATATACTGCTAAAAATCAGTACCTTTGCTTTCTTTCTGTCAGGGGGACAAATGCTGTGATGACAAAAGCAGAAAGTGCAATAAACGTGTATGATGCTTTATTATCTACAAACAGCCTCCCTATGATAGCAGATATTAGCCATAATCACATTACATCCCTATTATAAGATAAAAATAAGCCTGTGTGTGTATTCTCCTTTATGTGTAGATTATGGACAATAAATCTATGAATGAGGGAATTAAATAAAACCACATCCCAGACTGTTATGTCACTGTGGGCTCTTATCACGGTGCATGTGTCCCGTTGGCTGTAATCCAGATGTTACCCAGCTGGATGTGGGTTCTGGTGGGAGAGACGAGGATTTATCTGTAAGGAGACTCATTGGAGATGCTGCTCAGCCAAGCTTCCAGACACATGGATGCAGATGCAAGCGTTCGCATGCCAATTCCTACAGGCCCTCCCTCTCGCCGATTGTAGCCCAGTGGCCTAGATTAGCTCTCCCATCTCCCAGTACTGTCCTGTGTGAATGCGCAGGAAGTAGGACTCGCAGGAACAATGTGTCATCTCGTTGCTGCGAAACGAGGCGTCGTCTCGCAAATCGTGAAAAATGTGTGTGGGAGTTATAGAGGAGCAAAGGTCCCAGGCGAACATTTCAAAGACCGCACCTTCAGGACTGTGGCCAAACAGTCTTGGGTGAAAATGATGTGACGTGCTGGGAGGTGGCTGATTCCTGTTTGTTTTTATTTATTTATTTCATTTCTGAACGCTCACAGCACACCCATAGCCTCCGCTCTTTGATCATCGGAAAGGCGTGAGCGAGCCTGTGCAATATGTAAACAGCTCTATGAGCCATAATTCCTATATTCATGTCCTCTTTCCAGCTGGAGCTTTATTTTTTATTTTTTTACCCTCTACTCTCATTTCTGGGCCTAAAATCAGGTTAACGTTTTATAAGGAGCTTAGCACAGAGGGCCACAGTGTGCCACTAATGTAATAGAGTATCTCTCTCGCTCTCTTTCTCTCACTCTCTCTCTCTCACACACACACATTCTCATCTGTCCTCTTTTCTCTTGTGCATTTGCTCACCCTGTCAGGAAGTGACCTTCTCTCTCTCTCTCTCTCTCTCTCCCTTTCTTTCTTTTCTCCCAGCCTGTTTTTTTTCCCACCTCCCTCACTCCCTTCCCTCGGTATCTCCCTCCGTCTGCAGATGTGGTAAGTCTGAGGTTTAATCATTAAGGCAGGGACACAGCTGATACAAGACCGCTCCGTGAAGAGAGGAGGACGATCAGGAGGGACAAGTTGAGGTGCTTGGTTTTAGATTTTTGGTAAGTTCAGCCGTTGTGTTCTTTTTTTTCTTCCTCCTTCCCCATCTGGAGTGCGTGTGTGTTTTCCCCCAGGGAATGTCACCTGGTGGAGAAATGTTGCAGCGTTGTGGATCATTACGGCGTTGTGAAATCTTACAAGAATCTCTCTGCAATGTCAATAATCCACCGGATTATCCTCTGTTTCTCTGGGAGCTATAGTTCAGCTCAGTGAACGGTGAAACCGCAGGGAGCACTTCACTGCAGAGAGGAAATCAAGTCTGAGGTTTACATACTGTTTAAATCGATTTGCTTAAACTGATCGCAACTTTTTTGAGGATCGAGTGAAAAGGGTGTAATCGGTGACATGAGAGGTGCAGTGTGGACTTTGCTTGTTTGTCCATAACCTGGCACATCTTGTCTTATCAGGCAGTTATACAGCCTCATGCTCTGTTGACAACAGTTCCTTAGATACACCAGCACCCTGCAAAAGGTGGGATATACTAATGTCAGGCCGGTCTTCATGAAAAAAATTGGAACTGACTTTAGCATAGAGTAGCACGCCAACTCAGTCAGGATGTTTGTAAGATGGTAAAGCAGTGAAGGAAGATTTTAGCTTTTGCTTTGTTCATCATATGTGCTGTACAGTGCGATGCCATGCTTCAAATCCACGTTCTTGCTACTCTGCAGTACCTGGGGTGTTTTTTCTTGGCAATGCCACATGTAACATCGATTAAGACGTTGTTCATCTTGACAACAGACTGTCCTCACCCAGCCTTCCCAACTGATAATGAACAGTAATAAACCTTTGAACCTCGAGTCCATGTTTACTCCTGCAAAGACAACAAGCGAAGTGTTTTCCACTGAACACTTAACTGTCATCTGCTCTACACTTTTTTTTTTCTTTTAGGGATCAGACCGATGGAGTCTTTCTCGGGAGACGCAGAAGAAAGCGCAGAGGACGTCGCAGGTGAGGTGATCTGTCTCGTAGTTTAACCTGAGAGTGCTAACACATCGTCATGAAGTGAAATATGAAAGAGATGCTCATTGATAGAACGTCTCGAAAACAGAAAATAGAGAGTGTGTGAGAGCACGTGAGTTCTCCTTGTTCACGTGCGCGTGAAATGCTGTGACCTGGATCTGTCTCGGTCTCAATCTCTGTTAGGACGTAAAAGATCCAAGATCAAGGATCTGAAAACTCGTCTCTTTGGGAAAAGTAAGAGAGCAGGCGGAGAAGGAAATACCAAACTCAGCCAGTCAGCCAGTGACATCACTGCAGGAAAAGATCTCGGATCAGAAGAAGATTTGGTGTGAGTGTTTACGTGACACGAAGCCTTTCGAAAAATTCTCTTTCAGATTCACTTACTTGTCCTTACTTTGACTCGTCCTTCTTCTGGCTCCACTTAGATGCGCACAGGCCATCATGGGATCGCGGGCGCTGTCCCACGACAGCATCTTTCTGGATGACCTGGTCATGACAGAGCCTGAACCCACCAGGGTCTTATCTCAGGAGAACGTTCACAGCAAAATCAAAGCTCTCCAGGTACGGCACTTCTTTATTTTAGGCCTGTTGTTTAAACTTATGGTAACAGTGACTCTATTAAAATCCTTGTGCTGCGCTCTGTCATCACAGATGACGCTTCAGCAGCAGAAAATGCATTTGGGCCCACCTCCTATGGTCCTGCCGATGAGACGTCCACCAGATCTGAGCAGCCAGGAGTCACTTCCTCACAGTCCTCCTCATGATTCAGGAGAAGACAATACATCTCAGGAAACCCTTACAAAGGTGCATAATCCTGCTACTTAGATGATGCGTGGATTCAAAAGCAGGA